GTTTGTAGTGAAGAATTATGGACCCATGTGCCTTGGACTTGCGTGAATTGCATCCGTGCACACGAGTGAGCTTGTGGTGAATTATGTTGTGTTGTACAATCCCAATGGGTCAAATACCCCATTGGGCTTGAGGAAGGGTATTAGAAAAATAGAATCCCATATCGGTATCGTGAAGGTGAGAGTAACACATGTGACTTATGTAGTAGGTTCAAATGTTTCATTCTTTCCACGTAAAACAAAAGAACCTGAGACTATTCCATTTCTCTTCATTTAATTAACAGTAGTTGATTAGAGTAATTGAAAATGTGGAGATCATAATGTGCAATATTTGCTGTTACAAGAAGGGAGTTTATTGCAATTAAACTAGTAGTAAGTTTTTACTGTAGTGTATCTTTGTCGATATTAATTTCTAGTTATGCACATAGATACTATCCCACTTTAAGCGAATCTTGGTCGACATTAAGTTGTCAGCCTAAAAGCAGTGAAACAAAGCACAGAGACAGTCTCTCTGGGGCCTCAGCAACTGAGATTTGTTTTTGTATTTTTAAAACCCTATTTATTTCAACCGATTTTTTTTCACTCTAATAAACGATTTCTGTTCTGTCACCATATAAGGACTAGCCTTTAGTTTAGTCTCTTATTTTTGGAATTGTTTTTTCACTTTTTCCATTCATAATAGTATTCTAGTAAGATTCCTAAATTTGTGTTGTTTATATCCAAAGATATAGCAGGAGTGTTTTTGGTAAAGAAAAGGGCCGCCATAAATGCATGGGGGGACGACGACACTGAATTCATGGCTAGCTCTGTGATGTTATTGTAAATAATTAATGACAGTTGAACCATCCAATTCATAAAAAATGAAAGGTTGAGAATTGGAGAGTGAGTTGAGGAAGAAGAAGAAGAAGATGGGGGGACCAAAGCATATCACCTTCTGCAAAATACTTGAAATCTTTCAGGCCTATTCTGATCAGTTTTAGCTGGCCATAAAATCTCGAAACAAATTTTGTTGGGGCCACTGTACATATCTATGCTTGTTTTAACCTACTTAATTTACTGAGTTTATTAGGGGCGGATGCCGCGGATCTATACGGTTTAGTTCGAAAGATCGGCCAATGTCAAATCATATGAAAACTCTATCGCGGACAATGTAATGAAGTCACTTAGTGATGTTTTATCCGTCTCAAAAATATTAATTCGTTTTACAATAGAGTAGATTATTTTTATGATGCGAAAGGGGTTAATCTTTTAATTGGTACGTATAGAAATTGGAAAAATAGGAAACGGTTTGTTTCCTTGTATAAAAATTCATGGTTCGTGTGTTTTGCTTTGATCACTACAATAATTCGTTCACGTTCAATATCAGGTTGTGTCCTTTGGTCGCTGTGGGCACGTAAAAGCGGAACAATCAAACCATACATACGCTGAACTTGTAAAAATTGAGAGTCAAAGGCTCTCCATACGTATTAATTTAAGTGCTAGTCCAAGAACTTAATTGCGTAACGTGGTATTTTATTCTTTCTTAGAAAATAGTCTCGTTTTGTCCACTTCAATACTCTATTTTATTGTGTTAATTCAGTTTAACAAAATGGGTTATTAAAATTGAACAGATAGAATATCTTTTATGGAACCGAAAATTCTTTTAACACGGCAAGCTAGCAAACCAAAATAGTCTATGTAATTTAGAGCATCACGTACATAGATTGATGAGATGAATGCTTGCAAAATTTGGTAGTATTTACAAATACAATAGCAAATTTTTCTTGACTCAAGAAATAAGTTGGGATTGATTTTTGTTTCTTTGGAGATTGAATGAGGAGTTTTCTAATTGTGATATATACTCATCTCAGGGTGATCTGAGCGTCAGTGCTCTCTTTAGAAAACCGTTACAAAAAGTCTCGATTTCTCTTAAACCTTGTTTTCTTTTTTGAAAAGATGAAAACTAAAACCCTTACGAGATGAACCAATGGCTACAAACAAGTGCAAATTGATAACATGATTAATCGGAAGTGTTGTAAAACAAATTAGACTGGAAAGTCAATACATTCGACTTGGTAAGAATTGGAGAGGAAATATAATCAAGACGGTGAGAAAGTTGAGCAGAATGATAAGGTGAAAAATTGTGAAGGTAGCAATTTAAAAAAGAAAGTAGACAAAGTAGAAGAGAAGAAGATCTGTAATCATACTTCCACGGATTTGTGGTAAGATAACTTTGTATTATAAGAATTTGTGGTGATACAACTTTATATTATATACACTTTCCGGTTTTTATTATAAGGCATTTTAATTTTATCCTAAGTTTCACCTAAGATGTCTGTTTAATTGGAATAAAAACCTTAAAAATATTTCTTAATAATTAGGAGAATACAACGAATGTAAAAATATATTTTTAATGGTTTTTTTTTCAATTAAAAAGATTAACCAAGGACGAAATCAAAATGCCTTATAAAAAGGACCGGAGGGAGTACTATATAAGTCATTAGGAAGTTGAGTTTACGTCTTTTTCCCCTTTCTTCATTGCGATCACCAAGATTTAAGGTTACAGTCTCCAGTCTCATTGTTTCTTCCACTCATCACATTTCACTTTTAATTTGTTTATGAATCGAAATTTAGTTGTTAATATCAAATTGCTCCAGATCAGCTCCTCATACTTTGAAATACTAATGCACCTCAGTACTGAGTTATTTGCTTTGACTAGTATAGTAGACTCTACTATTCTTTTGGTCGTCGATCAATTTTAACAGGTACGTTTCTGATCCAAAATTATTATCATATTGATTAGAATAAAATAATATCATGAACATGGTGATTAATCATATTGAATAAAGGAAGTAGTACATCACGGACGAGGGCCAAATGGCTGGGTGATCTTAAGCGATCCTTTTTGTCATGTGGATTAGCACAATGTCATTCGATTGCTTTTCCTCAGTTCAGGCAAGGTGGAATATATATATGTTTACTTGAATGGATGGGCAAACTTCCTTACTAGTACAATGATCCAATGATGTAAAATGTGGGAAAGTGGATAAATATTCATGGTATTGAACATCATTATCCTACTAATCTTTAAAGTCGTATTTAGGGAACTACTACTCAAATTTAAAACAATCATTTTAGGTCAATGAATAAAGATGTTGAATTCAGTTACGACGAGCACAAAGTCTCCCCGTGTTACATACACACATCGTTCTTAGTTTCAGATAATCTTGAAGCTAGCTAGTTAATTAGAAACTGGCTCAAAGTCCCAAATTCCAACATCGTCTGGCCTTTTCGCATTTCTACAACTCTTGTGGTATGTTAGGTTGTACTCACTCAATCTCTGAAAAATATTCAGTATAATGTGTTGTTTTAGTTTTAACTTTTAACAAGTAAATTATTCTACTCGTATGGCTTTTAGAATCTCGAAATACTTGAGATGTAGTAGTCTTTTTAGCCCTCGTACAACTTGCTTTTGAACGCATGCAGGGAAACATTGATAATTTGTGTTACACTAAATAACAATTATCTTTCATGCATTCTGCATGGACATAACTCTCACGGTACTACTATGATTTCAGTTTGATCAATTATGTAAAAATATTAAAACATACAATATAATTATTTTTGGATGGAGAGAGTATTGATCAATTTGACTGCAATTCCATTGAAAAATTAATTGTCGTGTTCATCAGCTACTAAACATTCAGAAGCATTCTTCTTCTTTTTTTTTCTTAATGAAAAATAAGCACTCTTTTGGAAAACAGCAAATTAAATTGTTCATTATACACTCATCGACCAAAATGTGCCTTTAAGCTTTACCTTTGTTAAAATTAGATTTATTTGTCTAGTAATTGTCGAACTCAAAAGTAAATGAGCAACACGAAATACTTGGGGAAAGTCTTTTAGGAAGTCAAACAAAATAATTTCGATAATGTATCTTACTTATTTTCTAACACTAGGGTTTATCAATTTTAAATCAAGGTATAATAGGTAGAGTATCTTTATTTCAAAGATAAAACTAAAATTGCTACACCATAAATATAATAGAAGAGCTAATCACGATAGAAATAAACTAAGGGCTGATATTTTCTAAATGCATTATCTATCGGCATTGAAAATATATAGAGAAATGAAATTCCACAAAGGAAAACAATGATTTACTAGACTAGGATGTAAACATACATTCTCTCAATTCCAAAATGGTTATTCAGTTCATATTTTTATTTTTAGTACAATCTGTGTTAAAAGTAAAAAAATCGAAACTAAACTAAACATGTTTGTCCAAATCCCCCCAAAAAACTTTCATCCCTCATCAGTCATCACATCTCTGCAAGTACCTAGTAAATACAGAAAAGCAAGTATGCAAAAGACAAAATGAAAACAATCAATATTGTTGGATTAGCATCATATATATGTGCCAAATATAAAAGATCATCACATTGTTCTCTTATCCAACAATCCATCCAAACTAAGAAGATGCATGCTAAAATCTTTGTAGTTACTGTATTTATTTGGAACTCCTCTATTGGACAAAGATTTGCAAACCAATCAAGCACTGATGATAGATTGCTTATGTTACCATCTAGTTAGAAATTAAGAATACAATGATTCTAGCACTTCGAAGAGAAGATATGGACAATATTCTACTCCGTCGTCTCAAAACAAATAAATGTCACGATTCTTGTACTGTTTTAATTTAATAAACACGAATTTTATTGTAAGACGGATGGACTAGAAATTCAATAGTATGATCAAATCTCTGAATAAATATTTAAGGAATAACTGCCAATTCCAGTTTCCAGGTTATTTAAGGAAGTGCTACATTTGTATAATCAGTTTGGAGGCCTACAACATTTATCCCTAGCTACCTTATCCCAGCAGACAAAACCAATCCCCACAGAGAATTTATACCTACGTATATGCTTCAATCTAACTCAGAAATCAAGAAATTAGAAAATGACACTGCACTGCAAACATTAGCAGCAGGCTGGCTAGCTAGCTAGCTAGCTCTCCTTTTTTTAACCTTCATATATATCTTTCCCATTTCCTAAAAACTTACTCCTTCTGTCCAAAAATAATTGTCCTGTTTATTGTAACTATAACAAGCATGACAATGATTTTGGGATGGAGAGAGTAAACTTTCAGTTTGAAATTTACAGTCCCAGTACATGTTCTGCTCCCTTCGTTGAAAAATAAACAAAGAGAAAAGGTATCTCAAAAGAACAAACAAAAAGTAATATTTGAACGAAGTATGTAAAATATTGAACCAAAAATCACAAGCATTTTACAATTCTGTTGCACAAATTAACAAATTTCTTTTGCCTGTTTATGATGTTGAGGATTGGAATCGGTGGATAGCTCGCTACCGCGGCCCAAGCCTCAGCTCCAGATCAAGCTCTTCAATGGCGTCGCCGCCGGAGTCTTTCTTCGTGTTTTCACAATCATCATTGCTGTTGTTGTCCAATTCTGAGGGTTCAGTGTTTGTGGAATGACAAATTAAAGAATTAAGGCTTTGAGGATTGGGCGCAAAATTAGTATAAGAAAGATGGGGGTAAGGTGAGATCAAATTAGGGTTGGAAGAAGGTGAATCCATGCATGAATTCATGGTGGTTGTTGGATTTATAGCACCATTAGGGTTAGCTAGTGAATAAATTAGGCATAGCCCTCCATTTGTGGAGACAAATTCAGGAGCTGGAATTAGGATTGTTGAAGATGGGAAATTGGAGGAGTTGGGAAAATTAACACTATTACTCATACCTGCGGGATGATGTGATTGGTGTAGTCTAGCCCTGTCTCGGCGGTGCACGTTCATGTGACCGCCGAGTGCTTGGGCCGACCGGAATTCCCGTCGACAGAAAGTACAAGTGTAAGACCTAGGTGGCCAGGTGGTACCATTGATGCTGCCTGTGTCTTGTTCAAATGCTCTAATTTCCCAGGAATCATCATCCTCATGAATATGGGCTAATTGTACTTGATTAGGGTTCCACATCCAGGATATTCCGGAAGAGGCCGGCGAGGAACTGACGGCGGGTTTTGGCTGGTGGTGTGGTGATTTTTGTTGATGATGTTGAGCTAGTTTTTGAAGTTGAGTTATAGATAAAAGGTCAAGCTCGGCAGCCATGAGTCTCTCTTGTAAGTAACATTTAAGATATATGATAGGTAGTAATAATAATAATAATGTGTGGGATGTTAAAAATTGTGGATTAAATAGGGAGATGGGCGCCCTGAAAATGTTGGATGGTGACAAAAATGGACAAAAATAAACAATGTGGAAATGGATTTCGGGACCGAAGAAATCAACGACATCTTCATCATCCAAATAAAAATTCTTTGTTGCAGAATTAACATTAGAAATAATGATAAACCGACTAAACATCCGGTAAAATAATTAGGCAACTGTTTTGCTGTTCATGTCCTAAAAAAATAGTTAACATGGAACTTTTAAATTTTTACGAAAACTAATATAAATCTCAAAATTTAATATGAACTATTTTTCGGACACGGATAATACTTTGCAGAAAGACACTAAATATTGTTTTATTAGTCGCTGAATTATTGTTTCGTTAACTGATTTCGCTCCCTCTCTGTTACCACTATTGTTGTTGTTGCATTGGCTTCATCGACTGTCTTTTTCAGTGTGAACTAATTTGATTCATATCTTGAATGCAAGATTGTCATCATCATAATATTTTAACCTACTCTGGAATGAAAAATACTAAGAGAGGCAGTGAAATACAGTGGAAGTATCAGGTCCAATTGCCTGTTCATTAGGAACTCAGACAAAGCCCTGATTAATTTTGGCTTGTTCTTGTATTGTATTTTATTATATATAAAGGAAAAGAAAGATGATAATCCCTGATTTTTTTTGTTAGTATTTACTAATTTTAATTAATTTGGTTGAAAATGGTCCATAACAGCGACATAGACACATTACAAATTAGTTGCTACATATATCAAACGATTGAACGACTGTATCTTTCTCATTGAAAATGGATATAATTGCCTGGCTATGTGGCATAACCACAGTTATTAGTAATATTTACTCTCATAAAATGTAGGAAAACGTGACTGTGCCCTATGCATTATTTATTTGAAACAATTTTGTAACTCGTGTCTTTGGACTATTCTTTCTTTCTTTTTTTTTCTTCGTTTAGATATTGGTTGGATGACTTTTATCCAAATGAATAAATTTAAGAAATTTTTTGCGACATTCTTAAGAATGAAATTACGTGTGGGACTGAAATTATGTTAAACAATTATTGAGGAGGATGCAGTATAGATGGAGTACAAGCTCCGTCATGGTGTTTATTACCAGTAATAATGATTTGATTTCGTTAAAAGTAAATATCTCAATAATTAATACAACTGGTTAAAAGATTTAAGAAATACTCCACACTCAAGATGAAATTCCAACACCCAAACGCTAGTGAAATTAAGAACAATATATTGTTAAGAAATTAGATAATGATGAAGCAAATTGGTGTCCAGTCATGATGGTCCTGGACCATGTTAGGTTATATAGGGTATATTGGCAAGACAAATACGCATCGGATCCGGAGTATGACTATATTGAGTATCAACATCCAACCATTACTTTCATTTATGAGGCCTCAGCTACTATTCATACTAAAACATTCCGGTGTCCCCAGCCTCCCATATGCCAGAAAACCTACGTAATCAATGATCCATGGTCCTGGTATACATATATATACAAATTACCTTGGTTTAATTATTCAATCTCACTCTCTCTCTTTTTTTTCTTTTTTTTTTTTAATTTATTGAAAGGAAACTTCAACAATTCGACAGGACGATACTGTTAGGCAAACTAGCAACGGTATGGAAAATAAACATCAAACAAGAAATAAATCAGATACTCCCTCCGTCCCATAATTATTGTCCAGTTTGAGTTTTTATTTCTAGTTTAAATTGTACTAAAAATGAAATCTCAAACTGGACAATAATTTTAGGACAAGGGGAGTACAAGATTTATATTATTCGGTTAGTTTGGCCTGCATCCACAAGTAAGAACAGAATATATATATTATAGACTTGCAGAATTAATTCAGAAGAGAGTACATAACCATATGTCTACTCATTGTATTTATTGATTGATGACCCAAATATAAGTTAATCCCAAAAGTAATAGTGAACCAAACCTAATACCTAGTAAAATAAGAAAGCATATTCTTTGAATGAAGTGTTAGTTCATTAAGAAAACTACATTTATCCCTAAACTTAAGTAGATAGAAAACATGCCTAAAGCCAATTTTAAAAGAAATTCAAGGCATAATTGAACATAAAATGAGGACATTCATGTAGATAAATATGTTATGGGAAGTTTTGTTTCTTTTACTCTCTGATGATAGTCAAAAGTGGGCAATACATAATATGAAAAAATAAGATTATTGGCAAAAATGTTGTGGAGAGCGTATTGCCTCCCTTACCACTTGGAATTTACTACTTTAAGCTATCAAGAATCAAATGAAACCAGGCAACGGTATCCTATCGATTGCTCAGACGGAATTATAAGCAAATTCAAGTACTTGTCCAGATAAAATAATACTTCTTCCGTCCCACAAAAATAATTCACATTAAATTTTGAGTTTTGTACTGATTTTAGTACAAATTTGAAAACTTAATATGGATTATTTTTGTGGGACGGAGGTAGTAATATTTCTCCCCAAAAAAATAATCCACATCAAATTTTGACATTTATAATAATACAAATTTTAAAATTCAATATCAATTATTTTTTGGTAACAGGGGAGAGTGGTAATCATCACGTCTGAACTTATCATAACTCGAGATATTACAAATAATACAAACGCAAGCACATATCAATTTGTAAGATTCACGTCTAAATTAGAACATAAAATATCAAACTAATACTAACAACTAGGATCACAAAACCTTATCATTTCAGAAAATTACCAAAAGTGATCCTGATTAAACAATGGAGTGTCATCAATCAGTCACTCCCAGTATGAAAACGTAATTCTTCGTCGATGTTGACTGTAATCCGCAATCTAATCAAATTGCATTAATGTTGACGTGTTACGTGCACTGATAAATTCCCTGTTTTAGTTACTTTATGTTTGTTCCATTTGCATAACATTTCATGAATTAATTAAAACTCTCTTGAAGTCCATCAATTTATAAGCCTCGGGAAACAACCTAAACGTCTTTAGTGTTCGTTTCCATCTTATGTGGACAAACGAACTCGATTAAAACCATAATTTGTTTTTTAACCCCTTTTCAGATTTCATCTTACTCAGAAACTAGTCATGCTAGATTTTTATATGTACTGTGATAAGTACCAAATCCAAATGTAGATAAATGGATGGCGAAAGAGAATTTGTAAACTCAAACCACATTGATTGTCACGTCCTCGATGGGACCAAAGGTTAAAATAAAAATTAAATTAATTAAGTAAAATTCTTACTCCTCCTATTTTAAAAAATTAATTATCTTGTTAGCTGAATAATTATGATTTCTTTGTTTGCATCGTCCAAGTCCAGCATACCACCACGTACCACGACATTAAGGAACTAATCTTCAAGATTGCGTGGCAAATTTTCTCAAATTTTTATATGACTTTTCTAATAGAATTTTGGATTGTTTAGGTATGAACTCTGATTTTTTTTATTGTTAGTTAATTTTCGTGTTATTTGCTAACAATACTTGATTAATACATTTACTTAAACTAGTTTAACTTAGCTAGATTTGTGATAGAAGCTACTTGTATATGAAGCTGAAACTGAAAAGTTTGTTTGAGATGGATATCTTCTTGTTCGACATTATAGAAACAATCGGACTATATATATTATATCGCCTGAAGGATATGAAAATTGACCTTTAATGTAATTAAATCAAGAGAATTGACAGCTGATTGAGTTAAAAGTAGAGTGAATCCATGCTTTTCTTTTTTCTTTCTTTTGGATAAACCTGACTAATTAGTATTCTTTTCTTTCCAAAATGATTTATAAATATGATAATTATTTTGAGACAAAAACCGTCAACTCAACAAAAGTTTTTAAGGCCTGTTATCACTATCCTTTCATGTTTTTTTTTTTTTTTTGAATTTTCTTCCACCATTATTTGCAAATCGATCAAGTTTCCATTGATAATTACTTCCACGTTACGGTAAGCATAAATTTGCATGTTCATAATTTTGTCACAAGAAATGGAAGGGGAAGAGGTGGCGGGGCCCTGTTAAATACCAGTCCTTCCCATTTTTCTTTCTCCTCTCTAGTCCCAAAAAAATAAATAAATAAATAAATCATCTTTTCTACTAATGTGGGTTAGAGTTAAATTTCATTGCTTGCTTTTTTTTTGATAAACGGTTAATTTTCAATCAAAAACTCAAATTCAATCACTATCAAACTTAAAGATTCACAAACCCTTTGCATCACGAAAAATTATTAATTCTCCTACCACTCCTCTATTTTATTTTATATTTTTGTTAGTCTACCTTTGTTGGGGTCTACCTATAGTAAAGAGAATTTTCGGTGTCCATGGATTCAAAAAAATGAAATACAAGCAATCTCGGGACAATTCCACAATTTTTATGCAAGGCCAAAAATTCCTTTACAATATTTTACCCTGTACCAAATTTTGCTAGAACTCTATACCTTTTATAAAGTATAGAATCAGCGGAGATTTGTTTCCGTGGGAGGGCCTTTGTATGTTGGAATTCTTAGCCCAAAAGATAGCTATTTCTGTTAATGTGATGAACAACAAACAATGTTGGGGCAAAGGCCTACTTTTCTTTACTGGACTAGTTCTTTAATGATTCACTTTCATTTGGGCTCCTCATTGATAGCTGAAATGATTTCATGGAAACTTTACAAGTGGCAAGTATATTGCTCCAGGCCTCCAGTGGATCAGAAGACAATGTGAATCACAAAATCCACTCTCCTTTTAAATGGATGATTTGATCCATTAGAACAATTACAATGATACTCCCTCCGTCCCATAATTATTGTCCAGTTTTACTAAAATGAAAAATTTTATTTTTGGTCAAACTTAACTATATTTTACCTTAAACAACCGGATATACCCCTACATAAGTAATTGTTTAACCACTAAGATTTTATGGATAATATTTTTTACTAAGGACAAATGTGTAACTTGATCCATAAAAAGTCAAATTG